TCCTCCCTCCCAGCCATTGGCTGGTGAGGCACACCCACGGTGGAGAAGGCTTTCTCTTTCTAGCCCCCAAATACACGACTCCACACATGATGCAGTGACCCTTTATCCCATTTCTCTTGATAGGACCTAATGAGGATGATGATGATCGAACCATATCAAAGATCAAAATAACCTCAACATATTCCTCCATATTTAGCTGACACCCACAGCCATGGGACAGTCCCAGAATACGAATATTGGACAAACACACGTGGATGCTAGGAGTTTGTTCTCCCCCTCTGGCCCGAGAGGAAGGCAGCGTGGCCACCAAAGTCCACCTACCCCAGTGACAAAGCCAGCCCCTTCCTCGGTGCGCAGGACCCACTGCACCGGAGGAGCTTTAGCTGCAGTAAGAGGGGGGCCAACAACTTCCCTGGACTTGAGTGGATCCCAAGTTTCACTTGCTGTTTGAAAATAAGATTTTTGTATGGTTTGCAGGATTTGGGTAAAAAGCCCACGTCAAACATACAGCTTTTTTCTTTCATCCATTATTAACACAGAGGCTACCAGCAACATTCAGAGCAGCATATGGTTATTTGCACCAAGACAAATCATTTTCTGATTAATGACAGCTCTAGACTCACTTCCAGAGCTGTGTCTGCTTGTAATCTGCAAAGGGCATGTTGTAAAATGCATTTTGATTTAATATATTAAAGAAAATTATAATACCACATTAAAAGAAGAAGAAAAAAAAAAAGACAAAAATAAACCAGCAACCCACTAGCTTGAGCAAACCCTTTGACATCCAGAGCAGGTAGGTGCTCTCCTTCCTTTGCTGCCGGACACTGCTACCAGCGCCGGCGTTACAGCACGGCAAGCTCAGCCCCAGACCTAGACTAGAAGATCCACGTGTTGCTCTGATAACAGCTTGAGAGCATTGAGAGAACACAGTACCAGGGGAAAAAAAGGTGGGTAAAAATCAGTCACTAAAGAGCAAGTCCAATCAGGATCCCACTGCTTCCCAGCTCGAAGGTCACTTCCCGAGGCAAGAGGATGCACGGGAGGAATCAATCCACATCCCTGACAAGGGGAGATACCCGGTGAGAGCGAATGTCAGGATGTCACCGACTGGCGAGGTGACAGGTACATTTACCAAGGTATATAACATTTACGCATTGAAAATCTGCAGTGTAAAAAGCCCCCAACGAAACCTCAACTGAAATGTCATTTCTGTTCCAACGGGAAAGCTCAATGCCTGTCAGTGCCTCTGCCACAGGCCCGGGTGCCCAGCCAAGTTAACGGCTCAGAAAAACACTCAGCATTAAATAGGATGGATTCATAGCAAATGCTGAGACTCACCAGAGCGATCAGCAACCCCCGATCGCTGGAGTCATTCAGAAGGAAAGCGGAAATATTTAGGACTTTCTAAGAATAAAAGCGGAGCATCTGCAAAGGCAGACGCGCAATGGGCTGGTGGTGGGATGCAGGGAGAGCGCTGATGCAAACCTTTGGCAAACACTCCTCTGAGAAGGAAAACTCCCAGGACTCAGACGACAGGCACAAGGGATGGCTCGGGGTAGACGGGGCAGCAGAAATTTATTCCTGTTCTGCCTGGAGATAGCACGACTCAAAGCAAGCTGGGGTTTCTTTCATATAAACCCAAGGTCTTGGGAAGGATCTCAGGAGCACGGTGCCAGGCAGCACCCCTGCCTGAGGCACAGGGCTCCCAGAAGCGATGCATCACAGGGGGATTGGAGGAGTTCTTCTCACCCAGCGAGCCTCTACCAGAGCACAGAAATGCTGGCAAAGCCCTTCCCACACCTACCATGGTCTCTGTGACCCACGCTGCCCTCAGCCCCGGCTCCGCTCCCATCCCCGGGGTCGCTCCTGCTCGGGAAGCAGAAGATGGTGTGAAGACCCAGCAGAGCCGTGGAGTTTGCACTCAGGGTGCTTTCCAACAAAAACTTGAGCTCTCCTCTTTCACAGCTGGGTTCCAGGGATGCTGGAGAGCCAGGGGCCGTGACCAAGATCCAAAAGGAGCCCACTGCAGAGCAGCAGCGCCTGCCGGCAGGGCAACAGCCCCGGGAGCTGCTCACCCCTCCGCCCGCAGGGGCACAGAGCTGCTGCTCGCTGCCAGCAACAGATAGGCTCGGATTTATTCAGCCTTAAAAGGTTTCCAAAACAGGGCATATAGGCACCTTTTATCTACAAAGCACGGTAATCAGTGGATGGTATTAAGCCATTGGAAAAGACAAGGGGAAATTATTTAGGCAGCGCTGTATCCTCAGAAAGCTGGAATGAAATTTCCTCCCAGCTCTCACCGGCTTTGCTGCGCTCTGCTTTTGCTCAGGAGCTGCTTTTTAAGCCTCGCAAGTCTCACCGCATTCGTGGGTGTTGCTTAATTTTAAAAATCCTCATTTTAATCAAGCTGAATGGACTAAAAAGAATAGCACTGGAGGGAGCGTGAACCCTGCAGCCTGCTGGATCCGGCCACACCGTGTGGCCCAGCCAGGACACTTGACTAATGAGGCTCTTGAAGCAGCAGCGAGTTCAGCTGAAGAACTGAAAGAACTAAACAATTCTCTTCAAAAAAGTCCTAAAACTTACAAAATACAAGGCTTTTCGCAGGTGGGTTTGAGTCAGCTTGGCTGCGAGGGAGGCTGCTGAGGGGTTTCTTTTACCCAGCAGGTTTCTGTGACTCAGGGACGTGGTTTGCTTGGGATGCTCCACTTCCAAGGCTGCAAAAGCTGTGGTAAGGCAGCACGGAGCAGAGAGCACCTGCAGCTGGGGCCTTTGCCAGCCCTGGGTCTTGGCTGCTCTTCATCCTCCCAAAGGTCACTTAAAGCATCGAATTGCAAAGCTTGACCCCAGATTTTGAACGCCTGGAGGTTTGTAATCATAAGTATTGGCTTGATGTGGTTCTGCCACTTCTGCTCGGAGCAAAGAGCACCTAAATTTGGGATGAGCCAGGATGCAGCAGGGCCCTGGGAGGAAGCTCCCAGCTTCCAGGACACTCACACCCACCCCAGAAAGCACCGCAGAGGGGCAGGCTCCTGGGAGAGGCTTTGGTGCAGCTTTTGCAGCAGCTCAAAGGGACTGCAGCTGTGATTGCACATCGGGTAATTGCGTGTGCAAATCAGCCACTTACACGGGCAATTACCCCACGGTGCTAACGGTGCCCAGGCAGCGTGGAGGGCACCGCGCATCCGCATCTCCAAGGTGCTGCTCCTCCGTGCGAGAGGGATCAATAGAGGCAGGCAGAGGGTATGAAAAAGCAACATTCATCCCTCTCGCTCTCTCTTTTTTTTTTTTAAAGGGATGAAGGGACTAATACATGCGGGAAAGAACTGCCTTTGCCCGCAGTTGCGGTGGGACGCCACAGCGGGGATCCCCATGGCCAGCCCCACGCCAGCGCTTTCTTCCTCACCTCTGAACTGGGGAGCGGGGACAGCCTCGAGCAGCCAAAGCGCCCTCCAGAAGAGCCCTGCCCACTTGTGAAGCGAGCCAGCGCTGCGAGGGGACGGCCAAGCCTCGGAGGCTTCGCCCAAGGCGCCCAGCAGGAACCTTGCCCTGGCTCCCGCAGCCGCAGGATCCCTGCTCCCCGCAGAGGCCACTCTGGCAGCACCGCCCCTATCCCAATTGCTGAGCTAAAAGATGTTTTCAGAAACCATCCAGTTTTAGATGGAGCAGGGATGGATCGCAGCATCCCTTTCTCTCCCAGGTACCTATGGATACAGCAAGGCTTCCTGCAGCACAGTTCATCCCTGAAATTCAGCACACAAAACCAGAAGGGAGCAAGGCATCCTTGAGGGTTGTTTATGAAGGCTTCACCAGAGCTAAATCTTTAATACAGCCTTCAACAGAGGGAGAAAAAATGATAACAAACATTAGAAGAAGCGTTCAGGAAGCAAAGAGAAAAAGAAACGGTGTCTCTCTTTCTAAAGAAAGCAGCCTGCCAGCCACCTCCAGCCCCGGCTCGTCTCAAATTGTAAGCAAAATATTCCAGCAGTGTTTAAGTTTCCTACCAAGTCCAGAGCCCCGTTACCGTTACAATGAGCCAAGCACAAACAGGACCCCACAGACTTGGCCAAACAACTGCCTGAGCCCGGAGGAACAACAGACCCGCACGAGGCAAACACGGGGTGATGCACAGCCCTGCTTGGTGCAGAGCCGCAAGGCAGGAGGGGACCCACAGCCCCGCTCGCCCCTGGGTCTAGAGAAGGCAGAGGGGAACCCTGTACGCTCTTACAGCACCAAATTATCCCCTGATTTAAAGCCTCTCTCCTGGGAAAACAATTAACCTTTGGGGTTTTTTGTTGTTTTGGGGTGGTTTTTTTGGTGAGGATGGTTTAAAGCATAACTCAATCCACAAGGATGCAGAGGTTCAGGGAAGTCCTTATCTGACCAAAGTCAAAACAAGCTGGTGTCCTGCAAGCAAAGTGGCTGGGGATGGGGATGGCTCCAGCTGAGGAGCTGGTGGATCTCAACCTGTGGCTACCTTCTTCCCACAGACTGATCGGAGAAGGGCTTCCTGCGCCCTGCCCCGAGGAGGAGGAGGCGGCAGAGCGGGTGCTGGGTCCTGAAGTGGCCAGGGAGACGGCAAGGTAGGGCATATCTCCATCCCACAGCTCCAGTTCACCAGCCAGAGCCTCAGCCAGCACTAAACTATAAATGACTCTGCATATTTTTGGATGTAAACAAGCGTTCATGCTTGATATATCTGCGTCTTACACTGGAGAGGTCAAAATCGTATTGAATCGTCTTTAGAGGGTGAGAGCTGGCTTGCAATGCCCGTTAACCTTCAAGTGTTCTCTTAAAAGCTACCTCCCCAAATCCTCTTATTTAAAATAACACAACATAATTATGTCATTCATCACCTTTTCGTCTTCCCTTTTCCCCACGTAACTCCATAACCTACAGCCAAAGCCATGTTTCACTAAGCTGAGTTTTGATAATACAGCGCTATTCTCATCTCCAGCAAGTTTTACTGTAATTACAGAGATGTGTTGCAGACATTACACACTCTACAATTAGCACTAATTGCATTACATTGTCACAGAGAAGTCATTTACTCTCCATGAGCTCATGAGATTGGCCTGGACAGTTTAACGGAGCTGAGAAGTCCTTAATGGCATGCCACGAAAGCGGCCGAGCGGCTCTCCCAGCCCTCTGCAAGCAGCAGATCTGGGGCAAACACAAACAAAAAGGTTTCAGTCCCCAGCGGGCCCAGAAACTTCTCAAGGAATGGGGAAGATGAAATGCTACAGGGTTTGGGGGGTTTTTTTTGGGGAGCCTCTCCTAGACGGGTGGTGGTTGGGAAGGGTTTCTAGGGGACATCTGCCCGTGGGAGCGTACGGCCCCAGCGTGCAGCACATCCCACTGCCCCGGCAGCGTGCACCTTCCCCACCCAGGGCCCCGCAGACATGGTTTGCTGCTTCTCCTCTCCCCCTGCCATTGGTTTCTGCACGGGCAGGGAAACGGCAGGGAAAGCAGGAGAGCAGGAGCCAGGGACCTGCAGGGAGCCCACGCTGTCCTGCTGCCTCCCCCCTCCATCTCTTGCACAAAAAGGGAAGGCAGAAGCAGAGCTGCTTTGTTGTGGGCACCAGGACCACATGGAAACATCAGTTTGGGGGTCTCTTCCCCTGTCATTTCACTGGGGAACCTGGCTGACACCCTTATACAAGACCTACGTAAAAACGTGGCACGCTTCGTCGGGTATCTAGCAAATACAGCAGGGACCTGAGGATCACCCCGGCGCGCGCTCTCCTCCGGGCTCCTCCACAGCTCGGCTCTGGCCTCTTCCCCCATTTCACGCATCCACTCAGGCACAAGATGCCTCCGTGTTGAGCTGGGCTCGTCCCTTGCTCCTGTGCTCTGCCATTAACACCATGGTCTGGGTGCTCGTTGGGGTAATTTGCCCCGTGTGGGAACCACAGAGCTGCATGCAAGAACTACAAGAAGAATTTCCCTCCATCTGATTGGGATTTGACCCCGGAGTGTTTTTTCCTCTCATCCTTACAGTGTTTTTTTACCTACATCTTTAATCTAGTAATGGGCTCTGGTCCCCTCAGTTTCCCTCTGCTATGGCAGCAGCCATTCCTGCAGCGCCTTTGGCTTTCCCCAGCACGCGGTGCTGCCGGGGACAGCTGAGGGACCCTCCAGGACAGCGGCGATGCTCCAGGCAGGACGCAGTGCTCCCAGCTGGGCAGGTGAGGGCTGGAAGAGAGCACAAGGATGGAAAAGGGAGCAGAGAAAGTGGGCACCGGGGGAGGAGAGGAGGCTCCGCTTTTAAAGGCAGTTCAATCCTTTGTCAGCTGAATTGCTTTTGATGGGGCCCAGACGGGAACAGTTCATGCGCACCACGGAAAGACCCATCATTTAGCGAGAGGCAAAGCCGAGCTGGCAGGAGTCACGGGAGCGGTCAAGCTGCGAGGCTGCAAAACCTCTGCAGCAAATCAAAGCCTCCGTGCACTGGGGATGCGGGGAGGAGGCCGCGTCAGAGGGGAGGCCGGTGCCGCTATCCACACTCTGCCCGTGATGGAGGCGGCTCTCGCACACCCAAACACACGTCCAGGCGCAGTAGGTGGGCAGGAGACTGGATGCTTGCTTAAGGAAAGTGCAGCTATAGTTTGGCATAGGTATTAGGATGGGCTCTGCCAATGTCCCTCTAGACTCCCATCACAGCAGGGTCTCCATCATCACAGGTGACTACTCGAGCTCCAAAGACTTTGCAAGTTCAACAGGCAAAGCCAGGACCGGGCTGGGAAGGGAACGCAGCAGCACCCGGGGGCAGCAGAGCTGGAAGCAGCCCAGCACCCACCACCGAGGCTCCCTGAGCCTCCCCGGGTGGGATGCCTGGCCTTGCATGGGTCTGGTTCTTCATCACACTTAACTTTAGTACAAGAAATAATAAAGAAGAAATGAAGAATACACAGAGTGGCTTTAGCAGGTTCCAGCCCTTGGCTGTGCTGCTGATGTTTACAACCCCACCAGGGCCAGTTGGACCTGGGGTCCCACCTTCTCCAACATACCATCGCTGCAGCCCCTAACGTTGCTCAGACACTTCAGGAGGAAACTTTGAGCCCTCTCCTAACCCAAGGAGCCAGAGGCTGGTGCAGCTGGAAGGCACAAGGCTGTGGCCTCCTGCAGAAGATGGGTTTACAGGGACAGATACAGTTCTTGGCCTTTCTGATCTCCATCTCTGCCTCCAGTCTGGGTCTTGAGCCTTGCTACATCTTTTGGCCTCTGCAGCACCCCATGGCAATGAGTTTCCCAGGCCAGGGATGCACTCAGACACCTGCCACTTACTGGTTTTACTGGGCCACTGTTTTGGTTCTCCCAGCTGTCTGGCAGAGGTGTATGCCATGACGGTATGGGGCCGGCAATGGACCATAAGCAAAGCCCCACCAAGGTGTTGCTCCTTTTTGGGGCACAACAAACCCATGCCAGGTGAACAGCCCAGCTGGGAGCGTCCCCTGCTCCTTTCCAGGAAAATCCAGTAAATTTGATCTCCAGCTCTATCAAAAGAGGAAAAAACCACTGTTTTCCCAAAGGTTTTTGGTCTTTTGGAGCAGGGAGGGGAGGCGAGGGCCAGCGAGCGATTCATGTGTCAAAGAAACTCAGCTCGCTGGCCGGGGTCCAGGGACTTTTCATGTGGATTTCCAGCCTCCGCCAGGAGACTCTCGGGTGCTGGAAGAGCCTTTAATTCAAACCAGGTGCCTCTGAAAGGAAAACATTCAAAAAGGCAAACTTGGTCGCTTTCCCTCAAAAAAAAAGGACAATAATGAGGGCAATCACGCACATTTCAGTGAAGTAGCCTCCCTGGCATGCTGCTCCGTGCTCCCAACTGCCCGCTTGGCCGCCACCTCGCCCGATGGAAACCAAAACCACCAGCGGGGCTGGAGGGAGAAGAGCCGAGCCCAGCACCCAGCAAGGAGCCCCAGGGCACGGGCTGGCCAAAGTCCACCGCAAACAGCTTTTGTCACCCTACCCTGCTCTCTCCGTGAGCTGAGCATCAGCTCTCCCGTGAGCTACGGCGAGGACCAGAGGGACTGCTGCGGTCCAGGCGGTGATTCCCGCTGCAGAGCCAGGATGGACAACGCCAACAGCACTGATGCCCAGCAAGCCCTGAGCCTTCACCACTGCAAACCAGCCTCTCCCCCAAATCCGATGCTTGCCAAGCGGTGCCATGAATGACAACAGAGAGGCGCAGGGAGAGGGAGACCCACCGCGCCGGGCTTACCCTGCGATGACGATGAAGAAGTCCAGGCGGTTCCACGTGTCTCCCAAGTAGCATTTCTTCCCAAAAATCCCCAGCGCGATCATCTTGACGATCATTTCCACGGCGAAGAAGGCAAAGATGAAATCGTCGAAGCTCTGCAAAAGAAAGGCAGGGAGGAAGGATGCTCCTGCGTTGCTGCACGCTCACACCCGGGGAGGGAATTAGAGTCCCCAGTCCAACAAGGTCTCCTCTTGCACCACTGAGGGCTAAAATCCCTGGGCAGAGGCAGTGCTGGGCGCAGCCCCGTGTCTTCCCCCAACCCAGCCCCGCCAACAGCAGCCGTGGCACTGGGATAAAGGGATGAGTATATTTTGGGCTCTGTTTTCACTATAAACTCAATGGTTAACCCACCCTGAGGACTCCAAGCAAGGCTTGGCTACACTGGACCTGGCACAGCCTGGCAGAGACTTTGCCTGATGACCCCAGGCGTTTCCATCCGAGCATCAAAATCAGCATTTTTTTACGTGCCAGTGGGACAGCCAGGCAGGCAGGACCCAGCCATCCCAGGCCACCTCCGCTGCAGCTGGAGCCAGCTCTGCCACAGCTCGGTCCTTCTTGCTCCCCATCAACCCTGGGCCGCCGTTCAGCTAAAAGCAGGGGCCAAGCCGTACCTGGAGGATCCTGCAGCGCGGCGAGTCGCAGGCGATGTCCTCGCAGGGGTGGAACATGCCCAGCGTCACGCAGTTGAGCAGGATCACCAGCATGCTCACCCTCTCGAACCACCTGCACGGCGCCCTGTCAAGGAAGCAACGGACCCAGACAAGCATCCGCCAGTGGCCACCACTGAGTCAGAAAGGTTCTGGTCTTTAAAGCAAGGCGCATGCCAACTCCTCCAGGTCAGATTTGATCTGGTTTTGCATGGAGAGCCTGCCTGCCGATTAGATACCCGCACGGCAAACCCCTGGTGTGTTCTCCCCGTGCTGTCAGCGGTGTCTGCAGCTAATGCAAAAACCTCTATCAAATGAAAGTCGCGTGGCAAGAGTGCAGAGTGCTGATGTGACGAATTAAAAAATTAAATTAAAAGAACGATATCAACTTTTAGGAAAAAAACCCCACACCGTTAATTTCCTCTCCTGGCATTTTATGGAAAAGCACTTTAGCAACTTTACAATTTTCTATTAACCATGTCACGGCTTATCCCAGGGGCGTTTCCCTGAAGTCACTACTTGAACTTCTCATTCCCAGTCCAAATTAAGACTGTCAAAGCCATTAACTGACTGCCTAAAAGCCTTAGGACTGCGAGGGCCAGCAGAGCCCATCCCCTATCCCAACTGCTGCTCCTTGGAACGATTTGAAAAGCGCTGAGCTGCCAGGACAGGCTTTGGATGCTGTTACTTTTGGGGCAGAATGAAGCCTGCTCCTGCAACAAATCCCCACGGGGTTGGTTGAAACCTGGTACCCAATTTCTGCATCCTTCCAGGGGGCATTTCCAGCCAACTCCTGACTTCCCTGGGGCACAAAGATGGGAAATCCAGGAGCGGGTGCAACACGGTGCCAGGGATATCTTCCAGCCTAGCGCGGAAAACCCCCCCCCGGCTGCCACGACCCGCCAGCACTCGGGGCCACGCTCCTGCCTGAGCACAGGCAGCAGCTTCCAGGCTCTGGGAAAATAAGCATGGCCCTTGTCAGACAAGAGCTTTCGCTGCAACGCGGTAGCGGGTGGTGTTTGGCAGCCCATGCTGTAGCGTTATCTGGCTGGGGAAGAAGAAGGTGAGGATGAATCAGCAGGTGCCTCCCCGCCGGGCGCGTGGGGCTGGGGCTGGCAGCTCCTGTCGCCCATCCTGGGCGAATTCCTGGGAAATCACATGGGGCTGAGTCATGGCTTGGTCGCCGGCAATCTGGATCTTTTAATCGGAAGAAATGTTTACAAGATATTGGGATAGACATTCCAACTGTCAGGTTGGGGCTATGGGCTGGAATATTTAGCCCAAATATAGTCCTGCGGGGGCAGGCATGGAGGGCAGGCTGGAGGGGTGGGCAGGAGGCTGCCAGCAGGAGCCGCGGGGGATCCATGGGCATTCCCTGGCTTTGGGGGGCTGGAAAGCATCCCTCTGCAGAGCCAGCCGCGTCCACGGCTCTGCCAGCGAGGAACTGCAAAGCCCTTGA